CTTGGTGAAGTTCCCAGTGAAGATTTGCTGCCAATGAAAGAAGGATCCTAATAGAGTTCATCTTGGCTACTGGAGCAAAAGTCTCTGCATAGTCCACTCCATATACCTGTGTAAAACCTCTTGCTACCAGTCTAGTCTTGTACCTTTCAACAGTTCCATCAACCTTGTGTTTCACTGTGAACACCCACTTGCAACCCACTGATTCCTTTCCTTCAGGAAGGTCCACCAACTCCCAAGTGCCATTTTTGTGTAATGCATTAATTTCTTCCTGCATTGCATTTGTCCATTCAAGTTTAGATAAAGCTTCTGCCATATTCTTAGGAACGGGGACACTGTCTACAGAAGAGAGGAATGCACAGAATGAAGGTGAAACGTGATCATAGGACACAAAATTAGAGATAGGATGATTAGTGGTACAAGATCTAACACCCTTTCTCTTAGCAATAGGAAYATCAAGATCATTRATGACAGGKGAATCAACATTGAGAGGAACAGGCATATCAATAAGAGCAAGTGTACTTGGCTGATGAGATGGATCTGCCTCTGGTGTTTCCGATGATGTTGGTTGCATAGTGTCAGGTTCCACGGCTCTTGAGCTCTACAGGCTTTTATGGTGACGATGAAAAACCCAGAATGGAGGAGGATCGGGTAAAGGAGGTAGTTGAGTTTGGGCCGCCTGTTTCTCCTCAACCCTACTCTCCCCCTGAGGAGAAACCGAGAAGAAAGGTTGATTCTCAAAGAATGATACATCAATGGAGACATAGTACTTGCGAGAGGTAGGATCATAGTAGCGATAACCCTTTTGAGATAAAGGGTAACCAAGGAAAACACAAGGAATAGTCCGAGGATCAAGCCTACCTCGAGTAGGGGACAAGTTATGGACAAAGCAACGACACCCGAAAACACGCATCGGAATGGTGGACAACGGAGCTATAGGAAACAGAAGCTGATGTGGGGCCCTATACTCTAGTAACCGAGATGGCATACAATTGATGATGTATGTAGCACACAAAACGGCATCCATCCAAAAATGTTTTGGCACATTCATATGAATTAATAAGCCACGAGCTACTTCGAGAAGGTGACGGTTCTTTCGTTCAGCAACACCATTTTGTTGGGGTGTCCTGGCACAAGAGCTTCGCTAAAGTAACCCACTCGAAGCAAAAAACTCCGTGAGATCACTATGGAAGTATTCCTTCGCATTGTCCCACTGGAAGATATGGATTTCAGTTTGGAACTGAATGAACACCATGCGTTGAAAGTCTTTCACAATTTTTGGCACTTCATCTCGAGATCGCATAGGATAAACCCAAGTGTATCTAGAGTAATCATCAATCATGGTAATGAAGTACTTATATCTAGCCTTAGTGGGTAGAGTAACAGGGCCCCAAACATCAGAATAAACAATATGAAATGGAAATTCAGATCTTTTATTTCTCAAAGGTAAAGAACTTCTAAAATGTTTACCCAATTGACATGTCTGACACTGTAGCTGACTCACTGACAATGACTCAAACAACTTTGGGAACATAACTTTTAATGACTCAAAAGAAAGATGACCTAGACGACTATGCCATAGATATGCTTGACTCTCACTTGACACACTCAGGGACTCTGTAGCCACAAGACTAGCTTTATTCTCCAACACATAGAGACCATCCACCATGCTTCCTCTACCAATCGTCTTCCCCGAGGCCAAATCTTGAAACACACATGAAGACGGAAAAAAAGTGACTAAACAGTTCAAGGAGTGAGTTATACTACTAATGGATAGCAAATTTATAGGTAATTTCGGAACATGTAGTACACTAGAAAGGGTAAGGCCGAGTGGGAGAGGTATGGTACCTTGGCCAGCTATGGTAGAGAAAGAACCATCAGCTAGTCTCACCTTATCTTTCCCAGAGAGAAGGTTATATGTCTGAAATAAATTTGACTTACTGGTCATGTGGTTTGAGGCTCCGAAGTCAATAACCCAAGGAGAATTAGTGGTATGAGATGACACATGGAAGGCAGTGGGCAGCGTTACCTGATGTAGACGCGAAAGAGGTAGGAGTAGACCAGTATCCATTTGGCGAAAAGTCCTACCATATAACTCCAAATGGTCACAGAAGGAGTTGATGATCTCTTCCTTAGGGTCAGAACTGGGATGCCTTTCCTAAGTTACCATGGGACTAGTCTCTTGAGATGCCATATTAGCTGAGTTATACTTTTCCTGATTCTGTTGGCTTGGTTTCTTGCCCTGATCAGGTGTTGACTTCTTACCCAAATCCTGTGCCCATTTAGGTTTTCCATGGAGATCCCAACATGTATTTCTCGTGTGTCGTGTCTTCTGGCAGTGAGTGCACCAAAGTTTACTCTTATCATCTGTTCTCTTCTGAGA